GATCATAACTCCAATGGGAGATAAGTTAGTCCTAATTTATGATAACAATGAACATCAAAGATATATGCCAGGTACTTCTATGATGGAGACACAGATATTGTCTCCATTTTACAGATTAAAAAAACAGACTCAAAGAGGTCACGTGACTTATTAGTTACAAAATCCAGACTCCTAAGCCCAAGTCTTGACTCCTGAGCTATAATGTCTTGGTTGACAAGTGGGGGAGTTCCCCTACTGTGAAACTGGAGGATCTAGAGACAAAAATGGGAACATGAGCTTGGATGTGTTTGGTCAGAGACTTAGAACAGTTCCCAAGGGCCCTGTCAGACTCACAGGTCATACTGGGAAGCTAGCCCACAGTTTGCTCTGTGGTGGCTGTAGAATCGATATTCCAGATCAATGTGGGTCTCCCCAGTGAGGTCATCAGAACCCACGAGATTGTGATCAAATATGGCCACGGTCAGTTCCAGCTCAGCAGGGAGAGAGATGCTCAGCTCCGGGACCCTGGTCAGGAGGAAGAATGGCTGGAGACCCTCATGCCCTCGGAGGTGGTGGGGATGGCCGTGTCAGCGTCCCTGTCCATTCTCCCAACATCTGCAAGCCAGCCACCTGAGGGAGAGCCCTTGGGCCACGGGGCTGGGTGGTCAAGTTGGGATCCACAGGGTCCTCAGCTCCCCTCCGCCCTCCCCTCACCCACCATAGACCTCACCCCCCTTCCCCTTCCCAGCCCCCAGGGCCCAGCCTCACTCTCCAAAAACAGGATTAAGTTGCTTAGGGATGTAGCGTTCCTTGGTGTCCTGCTGCTCCCTGCCAGTGCTCGCTGCCACGTAGGGGTCTGCGGGAGCCAGGCTGGTACCCTGGGGGACAGTATGGAGTGGGATTAGGAGAAGCACCGTTGTCATAGCCCAAGGTTACCAGCTTGGACCTAATCTCAGATTAACTACAGGTAGGAAGTTACCAAGAAGACTTTCCCACTGCAAAGAGTCAGCTGAGAGTTGGACAAAATGGCTATTTACAATTAGTTACAAAATACGTAAGACACACAAATAGGTACAACAAAACATAAGAAAACAAAACATTTGAAAAGATGTGTAAGGGAGTTACTATTAAATTAAGAGTATTTTCGCTAAATAAAAAAAATACATTAAGCATGTGTGTACCCAGTAAAATAAGATGTTACCAACAAATTGAAGGTCCTTAAATAAGTTTACCTAATTCCCTTCTCCCTGAAGTAACCAGAACCTTTTACTTGAGAGTTGTCACTCACATATGTATTTTTATGTTTTTACTACATATACATGTATCCCTAAGTAATATATAGCACTATTTTGCATGTTTTTAAATTGCATTTATTTTTAGTCAGAATTTCACTCTATCGCCCAGACTAGAGTGCAGTGGCACGCTCACGGCCACCCCAGCCCCAACCTGCTGGGCTCCGGTGATCCTTCAGCCTCAGCCTTCGAAGTAGACAGAACTACAGGTGCACGCAACCACGCCGGCTAATTTTTGATTTATTGTAGAGATGAGGTCTCGCCAAGTTGCCCGGGCGGGTCTCGAACCCGCAGGCTCAGGCAATCTACTCACATCAGCCTCCCAAAAGCGTGGGATTACAGGCTGAGCCACCGAGCCCGGCTTTTGCTAATTCTTATACATGGTGGTTTGCTTCTTTGTTTTTTGTACTTGTAATCATGACTCATGGTGGGTTTAATTCACTCTGAAGACCTGAATTGCTCTGCCAGAGGGTTTGATTTGCTTCTGCCAGTTTCTTGGGCAAACTACCAACCAGCAACCACTTTATTTTTTATTAAGTCAGAATCTCACTCTGTCGCCCAGGCTGGAGTGCAGTGACACACTCAGGGCCACTGCAGCCTTGAACTGCTGGGCTCAGGAGATCCTTCTGCCTTAGCCTTCCAAGTAACTGGAACTACAGGCATGTGCCACCATGCCCATCTAATGTTTTGATTTATTGTAGAGATGAGGTCTCGCCAAGTTGCTCAGGCTTGTCTCAAACCTTTGGGCTCAGGCAATCCTCTCATTTCGGCCTCCCAAAGTGCTGGGATTACAGGCATGAACCACTCCGCCCAGCCTGCAATCCTCTAGGGCCGGGCACAGTGGCTCAGGCCTGTAATCTCAGCAGTTTGGGAGGCCGAGGCAAAGGAGAGAATTGTCCCTCTTCTAGCTAGTGCCAAAATTAAGACAGATGAGCTTTCTTGGTGTCCCCTCTACCTGGCAGGTTCATGATTTTGTCCATTCTGACGCTGAGGTGTATGTAGCCTTTTGGAGGTTCACTTTATACACGGTCTTTCTGCCCAACTCCTGGCCCTGAGTTGTCTCTGGGCCTTACTTCTGTGGTAGCTGCCTGCACAGCCATCCACAGGGAAGCTCAAGGCCAGCAGTGACCATGAGGGAAAGTCAGTTCCCACGCTCATCTCCCAGTTTCCAGTATTAACTGTATTTTCTTCTTTTCCATATTCTTTTTTTTTTAAATTGGAGTCTCACTCTTGTTGCTCAGGGTCACTGCAGCCTCCACCTGCTGGGCTCAGGTGATCCTTCCACCTCAGCCTTCTAAGTAGCTGGAACTACAGACGCATGCCACCACGCCCAGCTAGTTTTTTTATGTGTGTGATTTACTGTAGAGACAAGGTCTCACCAAGTTGCCCGGGCTGGTCTAGAACCCTCAGGGACTCCTCTCACCTCGGCCTCCCAAAGTGCTGGGATTACAGGCTGAGCCACCTTGTCTGTATTCTTTTTTTTTTTTTTTTTTT